TTCTTCATCATCATTCATTCATCATTCACTCCTCACTCATTCATCCATTTGTGCACAAACATTACTGAGCATTTACTGGGTAGGAGCCGACATTCAGTGGTGAACACAGAGACTTCCTGTGCCACCGAAGCTGACACCCAGGGGAGGGGGCAGGGCAGACAGGAGGACCATGCAGGGCAGGTGGAGAGCCGCTGTGGAGCAGCAGGAAGAGGTGTGTGTGAGTGAGTGTGATGTGTGTCGCCTGCTACAGGGAAGCCCTCCTGGATGAAACCAGCACCTATGTCCCAGCCCCTCTTTCCCCACCATCAGGCTCACAGCTCTCTGCTAGGCTCACACAGGATTGCTGTCCCCAGGGAACACTCAATTAGGCTGACCCGAATTTTACGAATCACGGCTGGGTCTCCCAGGGGCGCTTTTAGCACCCACTATTCCTTTGGATGTCTGCCAGAAGTCACCCTGCTCCTGGCATGTTCCAGCCCTGCGACCTCAGAGCCCACTCCCGCGTGGCGTCTCTGAGAAGGGTAGGGTCCTCAGTGTTAGTGGTCACAGGTCAACTCGGCCATTTCTTCAGAGGGGTCAGTCCAGCTCATTTGTAGTCAGCGAGCGCTGTGGCAGGCCTGGTGCCCACCCTGGGCCTCAGAGCAGCAGAGTGTCCAAGGCCTTGGCCCTGGAGTTGGCCAGACCTCTGCTGGGAGTGGGAATCGCTTCGCTCGCTAAGCCGCAGTTCTCGGCGGGAAGTGCTCAGCCTGGAGCAGGCCCATCTCAAAGCACCTGAAGACCTGCGGGGTCACCATCGACCTCACCTCTGGGCATTGCCTTCACAGGACCACGCTTCATGGATGGTGCTCCAGCCAGAGGAGTCAGGGAGGGCCTGGCCCAGGACGTGACATGGGGGCTGCGTCCCAAACTTGGACAGGAAGGCCCGTTCCAGGGGCGCCCGTGCAGGGAAGGCGTGAGAGCTCCAGGAGGAGGTGGCGAGTGAGGCGGTGGGGCTGGCCCCAGGCCACTGGAAGGTGTCAAGTGGGGAACAAGAGGCTGCCGGTAACATGTTGAGTAACATGTTGAGCCCATGCCCTCTCACGTCAGTGGCGTGGGCCGGAAACACAGCCTTGTGTCCACAAGGCCGCGGGGGCTGCTGCCATGAGCTCTGAGGCCATGCCCGTCCCTCCATAGGCCTCCCCTGCCACGTTCGGGAGGCCCTAGAACACATTTTTCTCAGTAAATTTAGATTTCCCTCCAAAGGAAGGAAACAGCACATCAGAGAAATCACTGGCGCTCAGCTGGGACCCTCACCGCAGTCTCAGAGGAGCTGCAGGGTGAGCTCAGGCAGGGAGCGTCCCCCTCCTCAGGAACTGCAGACCCGGCTGGCACCACAGCAGCTGCCCGGAGACACCATAGGTGTGCAGAGCCAGGACCCCTCCTCACCCCCCCCACCCCACACAAGGAGCACAGTTCTGGGTCCGCTTGGGGTTCAGAGAACTCAGGCAGCCTCAGGACTGGAGTGGCCCAGAGCTAGTCCACCTGTGCGACCCCTGCGTCGGCCTGCGGACCCGGGTTTGATTCCAGTAAAGGGCACATGCCTGGGTCGCAGGCTCAGTCCCCACTAGGGGGCGTGCAGGAGGCGGCCGATCCATGATTCTCTCTCATCAATGATGTTTCTATCTCCCTCTCCCTTCCTCTCTGAGATCAATAAAAATATATTAAAAAAAAAAAAAGAAGCAAAGGAGACCTCCCCCTACCAGCAAGGGGGATGAAAGAGGAAGCGGGGATGGTGAGACAGCCTAGAGGAAAATAACCTGCTTCTGATCCAGGAGGGCCGACCACCAGCCCCAAAGCACAGCACTGGTCCTTAGGAACTCAGCTGACTGACCCAGAACTGCCTGTGATCTGACACAGTTCAGCTGTGTTGTATTTCTCCATGTGCCCTAGGTCCTCATGTTGGGCCAGGCAAGCTCACCTTACCGATCCTTCACACCTGCTCCAACATCCCCATTGGTACTGCCCGGTCCCTCCTCCCGCCAGCATCGCAAACTCAAAGCTGGACAAAGCTCACCTCCACAGCTCAGGATTCTCTGGGGACCCCCACGTGGTGCTTTCCTCACATATGTGGCCAATAGTCATTCACACCCCACAGGCAGAGATGACTCCGGGCTTGTGCCCGACCCTACTAATCCTCAAAGGAAATGCAAGGAGGTCAAGGCTGAATGAGCCCCTGGGGCCCCGGCTGTCACATGGGTGACAACTAACTGCTGGCACTGCTGTGGGACTAGGGATCATATGTTAAAGGTAAGCCACACATGACAGCATTGGGGTGCCCGGTGCACACCACACACCACCAGCCGCCCAAACCCAAGCCTTAGCAAGCTCCCACAACTGAGCGCCAACTGTTATGTTTGCTCAAGGTGATCTAGTTAGTAAGTTACAAAAAAGTACACAGTGAAAAGTTTAAGTTTTAAAAGACACAGGTTTGCACAGTAGAAGTGCCAGTTAAAAGCACAAGATAGCATCTACGACTAACACATTGGTCATGATAAACTCCTTAGATAATAGTATAGGGAACCAACACCCTCATACACGGCTAAAGTGTGAAGATAATTTGGCAGGATCTTCTCAAAAATTGAAAAACATGTAATCTTTAAACCAACAATTCCACCTAGCAATTCCCATTGTATAAATCTCAGCATTTTATTGCTATAAATAATGCTGCAATGAACACTAACTGCTATTGTCCAGCAACATCATAAACCATGGAGCCTCATAAAGCTACCAAGAGAGACAGAGAAGATGAAGGAGGAGGAGGAAGACGGGGAGGAGGAGCGGAGAGAAAAAAGAGTGGGTCCTCTATTTGGGCTGATGTGGAAAGAGTTAGAACTGTACATAGTATTTCACCATCTGTGTGCACGCGCTCAGGCCCTGACCCGGGGGGCGGGGGTCGGCGGGGAGACTCCCCTTCACTATAAATCTGTTTGCTCTTTTTGAACTTTATATCAGGTGCATAAATTACTTACCCAAAGGATTCACCTTAAAAACGATAAATGCTAACACTGTCACTTTGTTAAATTGTCTCTGCCTGGGAAAGTCATAGGTGTTTGCTTCCTAGTCAGACAGCACAGGAGCTCGCTGGGGTTCGGGGTGATGGCTACTGTCCACCTTAAGGTGCAAACACCCCTGTTCCCTCCCAGTGTGGGATTAATTTGCTGAATTGTCCCAAAGAGACAAGTATATGATTCAGTGAGGGTTGCTAAATAAAATAACAATCACAATGTAATTTTTTGATGAAAACCCTCAGTAACTTCCTTCTAAAATGGATAGTTTTCTTTTGAAAAAAAAAATACATTTAAGTTCTACGCTGTGAAAATAAGTTGACAAACAATGAAAACGCAGCCTTGATGTCAGAGGCCACTGGGACTGACTGTGAATTGTACCCTAACTGGCTAGCTCCCCTGGGGAGACCCATACAGGGTGCCACTGGGTCTCCTCCCTTCTGGTTCCTAACAGGGCGAAGCTGGAAGTCTGGGCATGTTGGGGCTGTGCTGCCACAGTGCCAGCTGGGCAGGACGCCCCGCATGAGTGTATGTGTGTCCGTGTTTCCTTGGAGACACTCAAAATATTCCCTGCTCGCTTTTCAAACTCTGCACACCCAGCTCCCCAAGCTCGGGGACCGTGGCGAGCTGTCCAGTGTGGGTGAAGATGCACCTCAAATGAGAATGCCTGTTGGAACTGAACCCGATGGGCAGCTGGGACCAGCAAAGATGTGACCTAAGGCAGTGGTCGGCAAACTGCGGCTCGCGAGCCACATGCGGCTCTTTGGCCCCTTGAGTGTGGCTCTTCCACAAATACCGACTTCTGCGCATGGGCCACGAAGTTTCAATCGCACTGTACGTGCGCACCCGCACGTGGTATTTTGTGGAAGAGCCACACTCAAGGGGCCAAAGAGCCGCACGTGGCTTGCAAGCCGCAGTTTGCCGACCACTGACCTAAGGGATACCGTGCAGCCCGAGCCCTTGCCTCCCTGTTTGGTCACTACCTTGAAACAACCTATGGTACGAGCTACAGCAACAAAATGCCACTTTCAACCCACAAATTTAAGTGAGAGCCTCGCTGGTTCCCAGGACATCAACCTGAGCTGGGTCCTCCCTGATACAATTGCACAGGACAGTCCGCTTACACGAGCAGGTATTCAGAACTCTGTGTGTGTTATACCCACCCGTGCCGGTCGGGGGCTAGGACTCCAAGGGAGAAAAAGATGCTTCGTTTTTCAGAGCAGAACACAGGACGGAGCACATTCTAAGCACAACCGAGAAGTCTCTCCCTCTGTCTCTCCCTCTCCCTCCCAGTCTCTCTAAAAACCAATGGAAAGATGTCCTTGGGTGAGGATTAACAAAAAAATTAAATTAAATTAAATTAAAAATAAATGAAGTGATACGTTTGACAATATAAAAGGATCCATCGTCCCTTGTGGTAACTTTCCTTGCCCTGAATTCTACGCTGTCTGATAATACAGCGGGTTCAGTTTTCCAACCAATTGGAGAGCCTCTGTCCTTCAGTGGAGGAGTCAGGCAATCCACATGCATTGCTGTCCCTCACACCTTTGCCATGAACTCTGCCACCTTCTCTTGTGCTGTTTGGTTTTGTGCTTCTCCCCCATTTGCTTTCCTTTATTGCCAGGGCCCTGCTTTCTCTACATTTAGCTTTGCGCATGTGGTAGGCAGTTTATATCCTATTTTAAGTTCTACTAGGATTTATCTCTAAGTTTTCCAAAATATTAAAAACCTTCATTTCTCAAATGATCAAGGTAAAAAAGAATTATCTTCCCTCCCCAACACACAGCCGGTCTCTTTTCCTTGCTCTGAGGATTACAAGGGGGAGAAAATGGCCCCAGGTTGGTAATATGGAGTGAAAGAAACCAAGAGCAAAATTGTGTTGTATAATTCCTTCAACAAGAAAGTCGGGGTCAGTGGCCTGCCTGTGGCTGACGTAGCCCTTGGGTCTCCTGGAGAGGAGGGACGGTCACACGAAGGGGTTCCTCCGTCTCCCCCGGCACCTTCCACCTGGCTGCTTCCGTGGGCAAAGTCTGGTGGGCTCTCCTCTGTCCGGCTCCCCCTGCCTCAGTGGAAGGCCTCTGATGACGAGACATCATGTACATCGAAGGTGCATATAAAACTCTCAATGCAGCCATTTACAAATCCCTGCTCACGGCCCCAGGGATGTCACAGTTTAAACCAATTTCTCCTGATTGCGCTGTACAGGATGCAGGTGGACCGTGGGCGGCCCTTCATCCATCAGCTTCATCAAGCTTTCCCAGGGAGCGGATGAGTGGAGCAACCGGTCTGAGTTAGGCAGCCCTGGGCAGGAAGACTCTCAGTCCGGGTCACTAACTGTGTGCCTAGTTTGTAGTTCGCCTTTTAAATAAAGGAGAAGAGCAAACGTGTCTACAGAATCTGGCGCAAGAGTAAGCAACGGGTCAGAGAAGGCAGAAGATGTGGTGTCAGGACCGCAGCCAGCAACAAACACAAACAGGTTCAAGTGCAGCTTTAAGGAGTAGGTGAGTGCAAGGGGTAGGGGAGGGTGGGGGTGGGGGAGTGGGGAGCGGCAGGGCGGCCCAAGAGGGACGCAGAGAGAATAGATATGATGGGATTATATATTGAACCAGTGGAAAAACCCAATCTCTTCATTTCGTTTTCCCCTCTGTACCCACTTTTTAAATTTCACAACGAACACACACGTGCACACTCACCATTTCTCTCACCCAGTCTCTCTCCTTACTATTGACCATACCCCATACTCTAGTCTCCCTATTCCACAGATTTTTCCCCTTTATGCCAAATAATCTTTGTGCAACTAAAGTGAACACTTAAATTTCTTAGTTACTCATTACTGTTACTGCTCATTTGTAATTGATTAGTTCTGCCTGGTGGCCACAAACCAGGAGGCACCTCAGCGATACCTCAGTCTGATGGACAGATGGGCAGTCTGCCTGGACCAGCCAAGGAGAGGGCAGAGAAGCAAGTGCCAGTTCGAGAGGGGGTGGGCATGCTAGGGCTTTCTTTCAGAGCCTCCCCTCACCCGAGGTTCAAGCGACAGCACAATAAAGTTGTGGGCTACTGAGTGAGAAGCCAAGCGCCAACGGAAGTGATTTCACAGTCACAGTTTGCTCCGCACCACCTAGAGCATTCGTGGTCACCGGTGCCAGGAAATTCCCAACAATAACGGCGGATTTAAAGAATGCAATCTTGCTATGTAATGAAACCACTATGCTGAGAACACTCAGTGTTGGGATTGAGCTATCCTACAAGGTAATGAGTTGTTTTTTGTTGCCCGTGAAATAAGGGAATTTTCCTGCATGTTCTGGGTGGATGAACCCTGCCAAGGCTTCTCAGGATAAGCCTGCTGGGCAGCCTCGAGGCACATTGGTTAAAACACCCCCCTGCCCCCCCATCCCACCCCAGGCGCCCTCACCTCCTGCAGTTTAATCTCTTCCGGCTGGAGGATGTCCAGCACCCCGCTGCTCTGAATCTCCGGGAGGTCTTGCCAGAGGTTAAACCTGGAGTGCGGGTTGCTGAGCAGGCAGATCTGGGGCAGAGCCCTCCTCTCAGGTGGGCTTGCCAGCTCCTCCTGCTCCTCCTCTTCCTCCTCCTCAGGCGTCTCCTCGCTGGACGGGGAGCGGAGGTCATCGGCTTGTATTTCTGCATCCTGTTGCCTCCTGGTTTCAATTTCCTGGAGAGTTGATTTATCTCGGTATTCCTGATATAGGAGCCCTGAAATCGATAGAATTGGAATGAAGAGCAGAAAAATATTTCAGGTGAAGATCTTGCTGAATCACTAAGGCGAGGCATTGTCCTCTCATAAGGGCCAGGGCCCCAGGAATACACCAAGACAGACCCTCAGCCAACTACTGCCAGGCCTTCCCTCCCCGGGAAGGATCAGCCCTTGTAAGTTTTTTTTCAAAGAAGGATAAAGAAACCCCTGAACTGATTTAAAATCCAATCACACAAATATATGCTTTCCCCACACATGAACCCTGCTGGGAACCCTGCTTGGCAAACAAGAACCCACAACTTGCTGTGTTAATAACCAACGTGTGCAGAGTGGATGGAAATGTCCCAATTACGCTTCAGTATCCCCCAGGATGCTTTCAAGGCCTTAAATGCTTCCATATTAAAACTCGAGTATGTTCATTTGTGAACTGGGAGTAGTTGTCAATTCTCATTTTGAAGGAAAAAACATTGCACCATCCTTAGGATGCAAAAGGGAAACATTCCTTTTTTGCGTTTGCAGTTTCAGACTTGCTTCCCTGACCAACTGTACTTGAAGTAAATGTATTCTAAGTCTCCAAGGAGATGTGAGGGTGCCTATGAATCAGCACAGAGGTGGCACCTCCTCCACAGGGAAAAACCCATTTCAGACATCCTGGCTTAGGGGCGGGGCTGTCTCCTCATAGGAGCAGCAGGAAGCTTCCGCAGTAAGGGGGTCCCAGCCTAGGGAGAGGGGAAGCTGGGTGGGGAGGGGAGCGCGCATGTGAGGCTGGGAGGAGGGGCATCGGACTCCAAGGGTCTTGTCTGCCTGCCATGCCACAGAGGCAGCAGCCTATCCTCTGGGCAAGAGAGAGGCCCCAAGAGACCTCGGGCGGGCGGGCAGCTCTGGTCTGTTTTTGGAGGCCCGGGATGGGAAGAGGCTGTGACAGTTCTGCAGGAGTGATGATGGAGGCAGGCCTGAGCTGCAGTGGGTGGAGGGATGGAGCCGCACCTGTCAGGGCACAGTGATAAAGTGGAAGACATGTCCTGGTGCTGCTGGGTCACGGATGATGTCCAGGTTTTCAGACTGGCAACAAGGTCGGTTGGCCCCATTCAAGGAGATGAGGAACACAGGAGGATCTGACTGGGGAAGGGGATGGTGGAGGGATCCCGTGGGCAGCAGAGGGGCACCTAGGTGGAGAGGTCCAGTGAGCAGCTGGACATACTGGTCCGGAGAGTGGTCAGACCTTTGATATGTCTACTCACAAAACAAAGATGATTCTCCCAGGAAAGTTCTGATACGGATAAATGCACCACTTGTATAGCACTGTCTCTTATAATGCGGTACATACACGTTGCCGATTATCCTTCTTTTCTTAAAAAAATATTTTTATTAATTTGAGAGAGGAAGGGAGAGATAGAAACATCATTGATGAGAGAGACTCATTGATTGGCTGCCTCCTGCATGCCTCACACTGGGGATGGAGCCCACAACCTGGGCATGTGCCTTGACGGAATCAAACCCTGACCTCCAGGATCACAGGTCAACATTCAACCACTGAACCACACCAGCCGAGCTAAATCCATCCTTTGGATTAAACTAGTTGGCTTCCGATGTTGCATGACACTAATGATAAAGCCTTTATGGAAAGTGTAGAACTTGTTTAAAAAATTAAGATTCTGTGATTGTACAAGGTTACATTCCAGCAGAATACAACATGGAGTTAATCTGACAAAGGAATGAAAAAGAAAACCTAGTCTACACTAAATGCAATCTGGATTGAAGATCTATAAAGACAGAGGTTTAATGTCACCACGTAAACTGGTTCAGTCATGAGCACAAGATCTCTATTGTTGTCAACAGTAAACCAATTATTCTGTGATTCTGATACTGAGTTTATGGAGGTTTAAAGAAACTAGGTTCCCACAGTTGACTTGGAGTCACTTTTCGATGCTTAGCACAGTGCCTCCCCCACATGGTAGGTACATACGTATTTGTTGAATTGAACACCTTTTAAAAATGCAGTTTCCAAGCTTCACAAAAATATCTAATTTGGCATCTTTTTGAAGGTTCAAAAATACATCTCATGTACGCTACAGTCATGGGTAAAAAAAGTAATGGGTAAAAAATCGTGGGTTAAAAACTATTTCCAGCCCAGCTGCGTGGCTCGGCAGTTGAGTGTCGACCTATGAACAAAGAGGTCACAGTTCAATTCCCAGTCAGGGCACATGCCTGGGTTGTGGGCTCAACTCCCCGGTTGTGGGGAGGGGGGGCGTGCAGGAGGCATCAGATCAGTGATTCTCTCTCATCATTGATGTTTCTATCTCCATCTATTTTCCTCTCTGAAATCAATAAAAAAACACACACCTATATCCAATATCATATGCTAAAAAAAAAAGACAGCAATATTAGCAGTGTGAGTAGTTGGATTGAAAATAATATTTCTGAAATCACATCGTGGCAGACACCATTGGCTGCCTCTCTCCCACCCCTCACAACCCTTCTTCCCAGCTGACAGGGAAGGGGTTTGTTTGAGTGCTGACCCATTCTGTGCTCAGGGAAGTGGGTGAATGTTGACTGATCAAAACTTCCTGTGATAGTTCCCTTCCCCTTGCCAGTGGTGGGATTAGACATAGCAAATGACACAATCTGGCTGAGGCGGGCAAGGGGGATAGCTTCTTAAAAAGATGTCCCTCCCCAGCAGACACTTGAAGACAGACTGCCCTTTTTTGCTTTTATACATGGCTGCTTGAGGATGTGATGTCTGGAGCTGTGGCAGCTATCGTGTGTCATGAAGCCTAAATGCTGAGAATGGTGAAGGAAAAGGAGCTGGGTAATTGCTTGGCTGAATTAACCAACTGCTGAACATCCTACCCCTGGACTCATTAACTGAGATAGAATACTTACATTGTTTAAGGTTATTATTATTATTATTATTATTTGCTGGCTATTCTGTTACTTTCAACCAAAGACTTCCAATACAAGTGCTTTTAGAATATTCTTAAAATTTCATTTTCTTTTTTGTGGTATTTAAAGTACGTATTTAAAAATCAATTTTCCTAGAGTTACTGTGATTACACAGAGTTGTCTGACACACCGTGTCCCCATTTTTCATATCCTGTTTAAAAAGCTTTAAAATTCAGATTCAATAGAGAGTACTTTTACCCGAGGAACTGTTATTAAATTTCTGTGCTCAATGTACTGTTAATATATGATGTTTTCCTACTTTATATTTTGTACATTTAGCAAGCACAACTTTACATGGAAATTAATTTTACCTATAAAACCCTGCACCTGATATCATATCCATGCAGAATTAGAAGGCTCAGTTCCCATCTCTCCTTGTTAAAATATCTATACCTGGCTGGCTGTGCTGCCCTGCACATGAGGGTAAAAAGTCTTCAGTCAATCAAAATCTCACTTTCTGAACAGAATAATTTTGTTCCTTGAATCCTTCAAATGGAAACTTCTAAGGGACAGAGAGTCTTATTTTTTTACTGAGCACCTTCTATGTGCCAAGCATTTATTAGGTGTCATAAACAACAGTAATACATGCACATACATGTACACACACACACACACACACACAATCCATCCCAGAGTCGCAGGGTCCACCATCTATAATGATAATGATGGTTGTACACCATATCATGCATAATCCTGCCATGATTCTGTTCTGGCCTCTGTGGGATCCACTGCAACACAGTGTCTGCAAAGTTCCCACGTGGTCATTCCACCTTCTTCCCCCCTCAGTTACACTGTGTGTTTAGGAACCTGTTGTCCTTTCCTGCTCCCTGGCAAAGAATTCACTTCATTCACAGAGCTAACAGCAGGTAGGGCTGGTGTAGGAACCTGTAAGGGAGAATGCGAGAAGAAGGCAGCAACAGCTCTGTGCTGTCATTCAACACATCTGCTGAGCACCTACTATGGATCTCGCCCAGGAGCCAGAAAAAGAGAGTTACCATGTCAGTCTCTTCTGTTGGGCACACGAGGAAACTGAGGGCAGAGATGGGCAGGCTCCACAGCTCAGGGCCCCTGACTCCCAGCGTCAGGTTTATGCATTGGCTCAGCAGGTCCAGCTGCCTCCAGGAGAGGAGCCTCCACATGCCCAGAGCACAGACAGAGCCTCTCCCAGCCCCACCCCGAGTTCCTTCCTAGCCATGGCATCGACCTTAGTCAAAGAGGGTCCCTTTCTAGAGGGTAGAAGTCTAGGCTTCCAGCATTTGCCACGGCAGAGGTGGCCCTCCTCATTAGGAAGGGCACTGTGGCAGGGAGGTGGGGGAAAGGCGTTTTCAGGAGTCTGTTCTCAGATCAGCCCCTCTCCATTCCCCCTGCAAACAAAGGGAAAAGCCGCCGCCACCATCCCACCCGGCCTGACACTCAGGGGGCCTGCTGGAAACAAAATTTCTGGAGTCAGCAGCTTCACAGCGTGCAGTGTGCACTCCACCCCCTCAGCTTTGCAAGGGCTCAGCTCCTCTCAGGGCTCAGTTTGGAAAAACCCCTGCCAGGGAAGAGTGGGCCGCCCCCAAAGTCTCCCAAATGCAGGGTCTTCTGGGGCCACGGATGCTCCACTTCCACTCGAGACACCTCCTGTCTGTCTGAGCATTTGGGATGAAGGGCAATGATGATATTTAGGGAGCAAATTCTCCAAACCTAGAATTTCAATTGAACAAATAGACTGCTGCTCTGACGACACTGAAAAACAAGATTTTCTAAGCAGCCGGTACCATTTTCTGAATAAGGGAACCCACATGATGAGAACTAGTTTGATATTATTAGCAATTTTTGACTTTGAAATGCAAGTGCTCACGTACGTGGGACTCCTCAATCCACTTTCTGCATTCACAGGGCTTCAGCTGCAGCTGTGCCGAGCTGGACATAAACGGCTGCACCCCCCACCTCTCGCCACGGTGCTGGATAGGCAGGTGGAACTAGGCTTCCTTAACCGAGGGGCTGGAGGGGGGTCCCCACTTTCTCTCTACTTTACCTGTCCCCTGTGCAAAGTCTGCCACTGCCTCCTCGTCCTGGATTGCACCCGTGAGCCTGGCTCTCCCCAGAGGCCCCCCCCCCTTTTTTTTTTTTTTGCAGATTCTCTCTCTTTCCAGGTCTTCCCCAGACCTCGTCCTGGGCTCCCTGCCTGGCCTAGCAGCACCTCACCCCTGGTCTTTCCCACAGAAGTGACAAGGGGCTGGGCGGGTAGACCTCTCCAGAGAGAGCAGGACAGAAATGCATTTGCTAAAGCCCAATTATGCAGCACGATTAAAATGGGGCAGTTTTGCCTCTAGAACCAGTTAGAATCAAACATGTCAAAACGTTCGCTAGGCCCAGCCGGCGTGGCTCAGTGGTTGAGCATGGACCCAAGAACCAGGAAGTCACGGTTCAATTCCCCATCAGGGCACATGCCTGGGTGGTGAGCTCAGTCCCTAGTGTGGGGCGAGCAGGGGGCAGCCAATCAATGATTCTCTCTCATCATTGATCTCTCTCTCCCTTCATCGCTGAAATCAATAAAAATATATTAAAAACAAACAACAACAAAAACGTCCCCTAGCCTCCTCACAGAAATGCAAGGGTATCTCAGTAGCAGGGGGACCCTCAGAATCCACCAGGAGCCCACATTTGCCCCGTGAAGCGCAGCCACCGCTCGAGTACCCACCTATTTGTTCGATGAGGTTCCTCCAGGAGTCGGCGGGAATGGGGTGGATCATCTGCAGGGCCTCCGTGAGTGTGGTGGGGCTGTCGGCCAGCGCTGGGCACTCCTCGGGCGTGGCCCCATTTCCCGGGGTGGAGGGTGACTCACTGCCAGAAAGAAGCAGGGGCAGGACCAGTTATTTTTAAGCAACGACACACCTCGGCTAGCTGGCGAGAGACGCGGCCGTGGCTAGCTGGACCCGCCCGGGACCGTCCAGGCGGGCCCCACAGGCTCTTTTTGTCACAGCACCAGGGCGCGACCGAGTGATTCATTCCCACACCAGCCCGTCCAAAACCTCCAGGTTTTCGGAGCTCGCGGGCAGGCATCGGAAACTTGGCGCTCCCAGCTCTCTCCACGGCGGCGCCGCCCGGACGCCCCAACGGGTCCCGCGGCCAAGAGCCCAGCCCGCGCTGCGCACCCCGCGCCGCCCGCTGTCACCGGCCCCCAGTCCCTTTCGGGCTTGGGTCCTCCAGTCCCAGGGTCCCTCGACGTGGAGAAGGGGATGCCGAGCAAGACGCGCGCGCCCAGGGCGCCCCTGAGAGGGCCTGGGGCAGGGACAGGGGCGTCAGCGGCCGGGCTGGGACTCATCACTAACCCCAGTCGGGTGCGGGCACGACAGGGGCCGGGGTGGAGTGAGGGACGACGGGGACCACGGGGCAAAGGCCACGGGTGGTAGGGGGGGCGCGAGCTGGGGCCAGAGGAACGCGGGGGCGACGCGCGGGTCCGGGCGCCGGCCAGTCCTCACCTGCCGGGCAGGTGTCCCGCCGCCGAGTCGCGCGTGTCGCTCTCCGAGGTGGAGCTGTCGTGGTCCACCGCGCAGGCGGCGCTGAAAGCTGCGGCCAGCAGCTCCATGGGGCCAGCGGC